AAATTAACTATAAATAATAAGACAATAATAAATCCATGTATTTTACCATAAATTTAATACTGAATCATTATACATTTTGGAATTCGTATATGTATAATTTTTTCTATATGTTTATGTGCATGATGAAATAAAAATATTGTAATTTTAAAAATAATACTTATTTATATAATAAATATATACATTTCAAATTTATTTTTGTATTATTGAAAATAAAATAATTCCTTTCCCTTTTCTAGATGAATAATTCTGTAAAACAATTTTTATAATGATAGCGACATATGTAATAAAAATATTCCATAGTAATCCATAATCTGAACTAATATATATTGCTGTATCTTATATTAAATCTTCTCGATGAATCTAAATCGTCCGGAATAATATAATCATCTGTTATATTACTATCAATAATAATATTACCTTTTCTTTTAGGTTTCCCTACTAAGGCTTTTTTTAACCAATACCCGACGGGTGTAAACTAATGAAAATATGATGTGTATAAAACATATTTTATGCATAATATTTTTAGAATTAAAAATTAATAAATTATATTTAATATAATGTAATACATATTTCTTTTTTATTAATATAGATAATTACTTTGCACAGTACAAAAGAAAGAACTGTAATTCCTACAACTAAAGACGCTATTACCATATTTTTTGAGGATGAAGAAGCTGAAAAATCAATAATGTCACTCTGATTTGGATCTTTAATATCAGAATGATGAAATTCAGAATTAACATGGTTTAAATCTTGTCTATTTGCATCTTCATGTAGACCTGTATGTACCGCACTTCTAGGTAATTCTTGTGGTTGTTTTACTGTTGTTTGTTCTAGTGTTTTTACTCTTGATTCTGCCACTCCACGGTGATCTTGTTTTTGTGTTACAGATTTATAATTATTATATTGTGAATTACATGACAATTTCTTTGGATCCTTATCTTCAAAAAGCTCATTAAAGTATTTACAATGCTTAGTCACATTAGGAAAATTACTGCACTTTAATTCGAAACTGCTATATGTAAAGACATAGTTATTAAGAAGATCCGCATAATCAGCATTACATGACCCACTAGTTATAACGTGTTTAAGCTTATTATAATCTTTTGAATAATCAAAAAGTTTCTTAATCTCCATAAATTCTTCTCGATCGTTATTATATTTATCAAATTTACATATATTCCAGCCTTCTTTATTTTGTAATATAAAGTTAATAACATATATAACAGATGTAAAATTTAAAATATATATCATATTATTATATATTATATTTCCTAACCAAAAATACAGGTAATCACAATGTTCACTATTAATGTTCTTCGTCATACTTTGATTGTATACAAAACATAAAGCATTACGCATTTTATCAGAAATTTTTTCAAGGTCCGGATATGTTTTTAAGAGTTTCGTTAGATTTTGTTGAATATCAGAAGCATCACAAGTATCATGCCCCCTATCGAAAATAGCGTAATTCTGTTTTGAAGGTAATTCATTAAGTTCACCATTCTATCAATTTGAAATAAATAATAATATATATATTTTCATTTATAAGAAAAATAAAATAATTTAAGATGAAATGTGATATTTTGATATAAAAAATTATTTATATTATGTAAAAAACTTACCACTATATCAGTTGCCATTATTAACGAATGTCACAAAGTGATATGCAAACAAAAAAAAACAATCATATGTTGAACTATGTATTTACTAATATAATCAAAACTTCCTAATATCATTTATAAGAATATATATACTACTATCTAGGATTATAGATTAGTCCTTAGAGTGTTGTCTATTTTTACAAAATTTTATGATATGTAATTTCTTTAACATTATGCTCTATGAAATATGGATGTATATTTGTATATAGGTTGTATTATGTAAATATATATATTTTATGTATTCCATGATATTTGCAATAAGAGTATGAAATTAATTATTTGACATTCTTAATAATATATGTTATATTATAGTGTACGTTACAATTACAATATGCATACGCTATATATAATTCTTTTGAAGTTAGTTGTCATAGACCTGGATAAATTAAATTAAATATATTATTTATTTTTATTTTATACGGAATATGACAGTTTTAATCATATTTATATAATTTACATTAATAAGATATATTTGTAAACATTATTACAGGAGCTATGACAATTTTTTTCACGCTATAAATTTAATGGACTTCATAAAAAAAAGTTTTTTTGAATTAATTACGCTTTTCCCCAATTTTCATATTATATATGATAAGTTCTATATAAATATGTATATATTAATAATAATGTTCTAATGCACAACAAGAAATAAGCTATAAATATTTTTTACATACATATTATTATCATAATTCGATTATTGCAAGTTATCTAATTTTTTTTTCATTGTATGCTATTTTAATTCGAAATTATTTGAATCGATAAAACTGTTTATAAATTTTTTTTTTGTCAGAAAAAATGTATATTTTAATTAAATGTTTACGAGTAATTTTTTTTTTTTTTATATACATAAGAAGTTATCACTTCATAATTAAAGAAATCAAAACATTTTATGAACATATTCAAGTTTATAAAGAGTAATAAGTGTATTCAATAATATATATTTTTTAAATATCCTTAACAATTATTTTGTAATTAAATGTATATAAATTTACTTTAAATGATAAGCTCATTTGTTGATACATAACTATATTTTGTCGTTTTATTTCATTTATATCATGTTTCTACTATTTTAAATCTTTTTTAAATTTATTTTGGTGATTCATTTTTTACTTTATCATATAAACCTAGCTTTATAAGAGTCTTAATAATAATTTACAGAAGAATATTTATCTAGAAATTTTGACATCTAGTATATGTAATATATATCAAAATAAGAATCAAATTTAAAGATATGTGTAAGAAATTATTATATAAACATTATACGTTCATATAATGTTAAATGTTCTTATAATTATAGAGTATAATATATTGATGATATATAATTTTTATAAATTGCATATATTATATTTAAAAAATTATAAAACTATATCCATTATAAATTACATATAATTCATTTATAAAAATCTCACATTATTTCAGTATATATTTATATATTAAATACTCTTCCATCTACGGTTTCTTTATAAAATCGGTCAGAATTTAACTTACGGATTCAATGTATATTTCATATTTCATTTCATATTTCATTATATATTAGTTTAGAGTTTTACCTAATTTTTTATTAAGCAGTGAATTTTCTCATTTGGATATATGTATTTAGATAATATGTTACTCCTTCTTATATTTGTAATTTTATGCATAGCTCATATACTCTCAATTTAAGATTCTTCTCTCATTGGAACAGTTTAAAGAACTTATTTGAATGTTATATAAAACAGGCTATATACGTAGATCCATATTTTTTAAAAAAACATGAGTCCTTATATTACAGTGTCACATTTATGTACAAGCTTCTCATTCTGTGTAGAGTTCATATATAATAGATTTTTTAATGAAGTGTTTTCAGCATTAATTGAAAGAATAAAATAATATGCTAAATAGTAATCATGACAATGAATTATATTTTTTATTAAGTAATTTATCATGAAGGAAATTCTAATTTATAAATAAATTTCTCTGTTAAACAAAATTCAGTTATATTGTAATAAAATAATTTTAAACTATATCAAATGACTATTTTTATAGACTCATAATCTTAATAATATTTATTATAAAGTAAAATGCTCGTTGTATGTCTTAAATACATGCAACTAAGGAGAACATTAACATATAGTAAATGAATACTTTAATATATATGTAGAATTTCTAATAAAAATCATATATAACTTATAACACTAAATTTATTGTTTTATTTAAAAGTAACATTTTTTGAATAATAAAAAATATATAAAATTGCAAAAAAAATTTATTATGATAGAAATCAGTAATGATAATTAATATTTTTGTTTGTTAATAGTGAATATATTTTTCAATCATAAAATAAAATTTTTCAAAAAGGTTAATTACATGCTACACAAAATCATTATTAGTAAACTCGCTATGTACTTATTAAATAAAATTTTTGTTTGTATCATTAAATTTTTAGTGAAAAAAGGACAAAGGAAAAAAATTTTTATAAAATAATTTTATTTTTTTATTTACATGATCAAATAGAGGAAATGATTTTTATGTTAATGTCGCTTTTATTCACATAATGAAATATACATTCCATGTGTTATTATAGTATGCACTAAAAAGGCTTCATATAACATAATTATAATGAAAAATTTTGATATATATAATTCTCATAAATAAAACATTATACAAATGTTATAAGAAGTAAGTAATTCTTGAAAAATCTGAATTAAAATATTTTATATATACATTATATAATAAAACAAATGCTTTCTTATATATATTGTTTATATTTCTATAAAAACTGATAATACATTACAGAACAAAGTAAATAATAATATAAAATACAGTATATGAATACGAATTCATTAAATAACATATCATTAACATTTTAATACCACGTTAATATATGTGTTCTGTTGATAATGTCTAAATTTATAATAAATTAGTTTCATCAGCATAGGTATATGCTTCTCTTATATAAGTTAAATAATAAAATATAAATATAATATTTAGAGTGTCATGTATTATTTTAATATAATTATGTTATAAGATTATATATTAACACATTCTTTATTATATTTAATAAATATTATTGATATGCATCTTTTGCAAATGAGGAAAACGTATATTAATGAACTTATATCATTTGTTTCATAAGAGAAATGAATTAGCAACAAAATTTTCCTTAATCATTATATATTCTAATATATTATATAGATTTAATTAAAACATACATAAAACTATAAGAAAGACAATTTAGGAAATTAATAAAAAATAATTTTTTTTATAGTTATGATCATAAGGTAAAATAATATTTATTTCTTTCTTGTCTTTTTTGAATTAGTAAAGTTATATAATTTTAATATTTTGGGAAAATAAAACAATGAACCTATTTTTTTTTAATTTGTTCCGATTTTAGCAAATAATATTTATCTTTTTTCCTTAAAATAATTAAAACGTATAATATATATGTTACACTTATTTATATTCATTTTCTTATGTGTAAAAATTAATATCTATATGTTCCTTAAATTTTTATATAAATTCTATAATTATATAAAATGAGAAAATTGTTTCACTTCAGAATATATATTTTAATTTCTAAAAACAATATATATATATAGAATACATTTCGTTGTTCTATGGAGGAATTCTTTAAAGAAATATAAACATATTAGAAATGATTAATAATATTGTACATCTTAAATATTATAATATAAATAACTACATTATAACATTTTTATATAATATTTTTATATAAATTTAATAAAAACAATTTTAGTAATTTATAATTTTTATTATAAAATATTTTTTATTTATTCCTAGTATATGTTAGCAAAGGATTTCCCTAGTTTGAGGTCTATTATGGAAAATGCAATTTCCAGTGATTATGTGAGTCTGACTGGTAATTGTAGTTCATTTGGAAAAGACATATTTCCAACTTCTGTTTCCTATGTTGAGAACATATGCAAACAAGTCGAAGCTTATACAGGAACTATAGAACAGCATCACTGGAATATGCTTTTTAACTCCAAATCAAGTTGCATATATTTGTATTATTGGCTATATTATTATAATAATAAGGAATTCGTGAGTCATGTTGAAAATCTTTATAAAAAATTGATCGAAACTTTGGATTCAACCTATAGTGCCATATGCTCAGAATGTGTTTACACAACTATTACAGATGATGAAATGTCGAATCTAAGAGATCTGCATGACATGTACTCTTTGCTTAATAATACAAATGGTGAAAAGAGTACATGTGGGGATAATTGCGGTTGCGCCCAAGTGTGTAGTCAAATATATAAGAAACACATGGAAACATGTATATACAATAATGACACATATTTTTGTAAAGAATTATTAAATATTAAAAAAAAATATGATGAAAAAATGAAAGGCGAAAAATGTGGAACTGGAATCCCCAAAACTCTACCTTCCTTTCAAAGATATAATATAACTACCATTACATTAATTCCAATATTTGTAATTTTAGCAATTTCTTCTTTTTTATATATCTTGTATAAGGTTAATATTTATGATATATGTGTATGCTTATACAGCAATAGTATATTTTTAAGTAATTTAAAATGAACAAAATTTTAGAAAATAATTAAACATTTTATATATTAATTTTTTTAATTATGAGTTAGTTCATGCCATATAGTTCAAGATTTCGATGTGTACCTATGAAGAAAAGAAAAAAATATAATAATATAGTTAAAGAAAAGGACATGTTGGAATTATCTGAAACATCCAGTTGTTATTTAACAAACAATAGATATAATATATTATATAATTCAAAATAGTTTTATTGCTAATTATACAATAAAAAGAATATATTATATTCAAAACACATATAAATTACTGTATATTTACACTGATACATGTGCTAAATTTATATGTAAAAGTATTAATTACCATCATATAGCAAGCATAAAGTAGTATTATTTTTTTGTATTCATGATATTAGTATTCAAATAAAAAAATATCCAGTTTTTAAAGTCTTATTCACTATACATAAAAATCTAGAACAAAATACATATAAAAAACATTTGGCTTTTTATTGGCTATTATATACTGTTATTTAAATCAATATGGCATCTGTACATTAATAAGTGAATAAGACATAAAAAATAATAATATAGAATATTAGCTAATATTTTAATCTATTTTGAAAGTGCAAATATCACTAATAATTAAATATATTTCAACTATAATGTTATAATAATTTATTATATTTTACAATATAAAACAATTGAAAATAAATTTCCCGTTATTAAATACTAATATTACGAATATATATAAGTATATATATGCTAAATTTATATGAAATTAATGTAGAATGCTCTAAATGATTGTATGTTATTTTATGTCACATTTATTTTATTGATAAATAATATCATATAATATTTATTATTTTTTGTTTATTAAAATTAAAACACATCGTTTTTTTGATATAAGATTTTTGATAGATTTTATTTATTTTTTTTTTACAATTTTGTATTTTTTTTTTTGTGATTTATTAAATTAGAATTTTTTAATATTTCATATAATATGAAAAAAGATTAATTCTTTTTGCAGATATGTTTTTTTTAAAAATCACCCCAGTTTATATATATCCTTATATTAAGGATATCTGAGATGAAAAAATTATTATATTATTTATGTCATATATACTAGCACATAAGACATGTGAGAATGAATGTTTACATTATATTATTAGTATATGATAATACATTGTATATAATTATAAAATATATAAAAATATAGAATTCTATATTTATTATAAGAAATAAACATTCATTTTATGGGCTCCAGAGAAATCTCACATATGTATATATAAAATATTTAAACATAGAATACGTATATAACATTTTTAAATCTTATTATACATGCAATATATAAGGCAAAAAAAAGGATATAAGAACTAAGAAGTATATAAAAATTCATATTTGTATAAAGAAAATAAATGAAAAGACAAATTAAACTACATAATTATATATATTAATTATAATTCATACTTTATGAAAAATATGTACGCGGTTTAAATTAATATGTATATGTCGTTGAAAATATAATTACTCCAAAAACATAGAACAAACATTTATTATTATACTTATGTACATATATATTACTTACTGAAAAAATATATGAATAAAAATTATTTTAACGAGAAATTAATATAAATTATTTTATATTCATTTTTTTTATTTATTAATGAAAATCCATGATGTTTATTCTTATAATATTTATATACATTATGTGTACTTTTGTGTATAAATGAAGTATTAATCTAAATATTTTTACTATTAATTAGTAAAACATGTATATATATATTAAATATAATCCCTATATTACAATAATCATTCTTGCACGTAATATATTATTTAAGTTTATTTTCTAGATAATAATAATTCGAGAATTTTTTCGATTATGCTAATTTATAATGTTCATTTAAAGTGTTTATATTGAAAAAAAAATATAATTGTAGAACTATTCAGTATCATTCATTATATATATAATCTTCTAATACATATATAGTATTTAATGTAAATAATAATTAAAAACGCATCACTAATAATATTGTTATTTACATTATTTAAGTAAATAAATCACATAAAATTTTTTAAATAATGTATGTAATAATATAGTTATATAGTAATTCTGAAATATATTAACTGATATTATTATATCACCATTTTTTATTGTATTAATTATGTTCTTAATTTTATAACAATATCTTTTGTCAATTATTCTTAAAATATTCTATGTTTGCCTCTACATATTTCTTAAATTATGATAGGAATATTTTCTCCCTTGATTTATTAGTACTATATAAATATGTATATTATTCTATGATTTAATTAGTAACATATCATATAGCCTGATATTCGTATTTTCATCTTATTTTCCAGTTTCAATAATAATTCCATTTAATGCTGTATTGTAATTATTTGATATATTTATGAAGAAAAATATATTGTTTCACTTTAGGTCTGTTAAATAAGTAACACAATTTTGAAGGTATATTAATAGTATATCTGAAATATATATTTATATTTTAAATGGATTGAATATATATTACTTACTATTGATTTTCATTAAATTTTAATAACAATGTACACAACAAATAAAGAATTAAGTAGTGTTATATTATAAAGATAATGATAAAATTTGAGTACTTAAGAATTCTAATTGTTCAGCAAAATTCAGTGAGTATCGTATATAATGTAGCATGTATTTTCTTTAATTTACATAATAAACTCATAATATTAGACAGTGACTCTTTATAACACTGTCGTTGTATATGGTACTTAATTGTGAATAAATTGCACAAAAAATGAAAATATATATTTAGTTCAGTGATGTTGTATTGGATAAAATTTTCCAACCTTGTATATTAAGAACAAGTATTGTGTATTATTATATATTATCAGGGTGTTGGAAAATATTTATTTATTTAATATCTTAAATGTATAGACAACTATAAAACTTAAACTTATTAGTAATATTAACCTATGCCTATAATATAATGATAATTAACGAAAAAAGAATTTACGTGTAAATTAATATAACTCCATGAAATCACACTGCAAAAAAAATGCTTGAATTCCACTAAAACATGGAACAATATATAGTTAAAACTTTAAATAATAATTCTTTTTTTGAATTTGTGTTTTATTTAATAACATGCAAAGTATTAGAACTGACAAAAACACTCTAGTATATTACATTAATATATATAGAAAAAAGAACTTACCTTATTGTATACATATTTTTTCGATAAAATATGAATTCCTTCATATTTTTAACAAAATAATACTAAAATATATATCACTTAGAAGAATGAAATATATATTCACAAATGCCATTAAAGTACATTCTATAAAATAACTAAAAAGGTAAACATGTCTTTGTAGTATTGGGTTATAAAGGGACTCACAAATTATGTATAGATCATATTCCTTGTGTATTACTTATTTTTATTAACAAAATTATATATAAAATAAAATATAAATAGTAATAAATGTTCTAATATATTTAAATATATTTTTTGAACAAGGGTACACGCATATCTACGAAATATCATAAAAATGTGAATATAATAATTAAATAATAACCTAAGAGCACACATAATATATATTTTATTT